TGGCTTGTTCCCTGTCAATTTTGTACTATAGTCGTTTCAGAGAATCCAAACATCAAAATGTAGGCAAAAGAATTTACAAAATTTGCCTCCTATGCGTTCACATTTGATGTCAATTTTTGCACCTAAACGTGGTTTATCTTAATTCTGCGTTGAAGAACTCGCCCCTGGGCATAACGTTTTGCCGCCAACGATCACATCCTTCATGGCAAGAACAGCGTTTTTCGTTTCCTCTAATATAACATTGAGGCTTGCAAAAGAAGGATTATCACGCGAGTGGTAGGTAAATAAACAGTGAGGCTGATTACTGTCGATCCTTGGCTCTTTCCCTGGGACAAAAAGATAAATCAAATTGCTTGATATAACAAAAAAATAACCTTTTCTGTTGCGATCGCTTTTGAAGAGCGTTTTACCATGTTAATTTGGCTATAGACGACCGGTTTTTCCTTTTGTTTTAGCGCCGTCTTTGAACATTTAGTTTCATTCCACTTTTTGTACATTTGTTTCCTTTGTCTTATCCTGACCGAGTGGCCACCGTGCATATGAATCCACAGTAGACCAACAAATAATGCCAAAGAAAACAGGGCTGTAAGACTAAATGGAGCTGTGTCATGAAATTTATCAAAATTCAAATAGTGGAAACTGCCACCAAGTTGAGAGAAACATTAAAATAACCACTCAAGATGTTAAAAGAAGGTATAAATAACCCAGCGAACATTAGGACCCGTAATTGGCGTTATAAACATATGAACTAGGCAGTCGTGAAGCAGCTCCTTTAATGGCGAGTTTGTTTCCTTCAAATTTATTATCATGATGAGTCTTTTACGGTCGTGTCTAGAATTTAAAAAAAAGGAAATGCCACCTTTCTTTTCTTTTTTTTTTTGGACACGACCCTAAAAGCTTGGGAACATTATTAGAGAGACAAGAGATGAGCTGAATTTTTACAGCTATTAAGTACTCTTACACCTGAAAGGATCCTTTGAGAACAAAAGAGAAATCAAGTGGTGTGTTGAGAGGAAACAATGAAACAACAAGTGCAAGGCAAATACCTGTAAGAACTGCATGGGCCTTAGACAAATATTTCTCTTTCGTTAACTCGATTTCATTCAAGCAGAAAATCTGTTGTGAGATCTTATTTCTCTTGCCTTTTGAGGTTATAAATAAGGTTATCCTGCAATTGTTCGTGAATGCGAAGTTTTGTTCACTAGAATTTGGTAGTCAAAGAAATCAAAGAACCCAAACAGTTATTGAAAGTACTTTTGTTGCTTTATGAATTATCTCTTATTCGAGCTCTGCGGAAAATCAAAGAGAGATTGAAAAATGAATTAAGTTTAGTTCTAGGAATGCAATTACGAAATAAGACCAATTGCTTATGAAAAAAAGAAACTCGATCTGATTTTAGGCTACCAGTTAAAGTGTCTTTCCTAAGAAAGTGAGGTGGAAGGCTGAAACGTTAATTAGTAGTTTATACTGGACGCTTATCACTTTAAATTTGTTCAATTCACGTTGCAGATACAAATCAAGTATTTTTCGCTGGTTATTGTGTTGAGTCAATTTTCATGACGTTTGGAGGCAAACCCAAGGCCCTACGTGCATTTGTAGTGAGTTTATTGACGTGTATGATCATTAGATGCAACAAACCTGGAAGTATTTAAACGCTGTCTTTGTTGAAAATCGACTCTCTAAAATATTTTTCTAACTATTCAAAGTTTTTAGTCAGCTGTCGGACACGGAACCAAAGGAGAATTGACTTGGATTTCAACAAATCGATGATACTGAAAAGATCTATTATACTTTCCCTAATTGAAAATTACGGCAATTATCGATAGTCTTCTTAGAAAGTCAAAATACAACTAAACCAAATAATAGTTAGACAAAAAACGCTTTGAGGTTTACTTCTTTATAGTATGTTTAGTTCTGTGTTATTAATGAGTGAACTGTCTTATCTGAACTTAATATACCCCTAGAGAAGTGACTTATTGTGCAAACAATCTCCTATAATCTGCCGCCCAAAGAATCAGGAGTTACTGGACCGTATAAGAGACATGTTTCAAGTGTTGTGCTGTAAGTTAGACTTTTTTGTGTAACTATGGTTTCCTTGTAAAATGATAATTTACTTGTGAGACAAGTTTGTGTAAATAGCTAGATAGTGAACCTCTCTGCTCAGGCTCGTCGCAAATGTCGTCCAAAAACCAGTAGGGTCACAAAACTTTACTAGTGCCAGGCAGGTTTTCATATGAACGCTGTAATTTTCACTGACGCTCCCCTGGAATATTATTGTCTAATATTTCATGGTGGCTTGCTAAGTAAGTACTTAAAACGAGGAGTTTGCGAAATATCCGTTCGACGAATATCTTTACCTTAAGGCAACTAAGCCTGAGGAAATGTTCTGTCGGTCAAGGGTTCCTAACGTAACTGGTGGTCATTAGCTGCTAAAAATCTTTTATTGATAACGACCTAACGGCTTCGCTATAGCGTTCTAACAAAGGGCTTTTGATCTCTTCCTTTGTCGTCTTTCATTTGCAACAGGACTTTTTATGTCTCATTTACAGTACAGAAACTCGAACTCGAGTGGAACTCTTCCATTTCTCCTTGACGCCATCACCTATTAAAGCTCATGTCTTAGCAGTTTGAAGACTGCTGAATTTTAAGACCTGTAGAGTCGAACAAGTTTTGACTATAAAATGAGAATAGATGAAACGACATGAAGGTATATTGCGAGCAACGATGCATTTACCCGGAAGTTTAGGTTTTAAACACTAAAAGTTAGTCTTGTTCAGTCATGGGTTGTGAATTAGTATGAATTGAGATAAAAGGCCAACAGTATTTTCTTCCTTGTTGACTTGCCTAAAGAACAATAACCTGTATTATCAGTTCGTGTATTGTGTATGTACGTTTTGAATAACAGTCGCTAAGGGCCAGTTTCACAGCCCAGGTTATCTGCCAAGTTTTGCAAAGTTCTCAGTTTATTATTGGGTTAGCAGCTTTCAATTTGACCAGAGCTTGCTTCGTTTTTATTTGTGTGTACCGCTGTTTCAGCCGTAACATCACCCAAGGAACTAATCAACACAAAAAATTAATAATTGCAGAAAACGTGACCCAAATTAAATTCCAATTATGCAATTAATTCTGTCAAGACAATACCTGAGTCTTTCCCGCATTTTACATGGCTCAGTTTTCGGTCATTTTTGGGGTGCCGTCCTTGTTTCTTTGACACATACAAGAGGCGAGTCAATTGTTGTTGGTCAAGGAAAGTAATATGAGGCCAGAGCTACAAGCTGACAGTCTTTGAAAGGTCTTTTTTTGCGTTTCGAAAGCCACAAGTTAAGTTATCGGAGGACAAAGTGTTTTCCTTTCCCGCTGGCAAACATGTGATCCCTCACTGCACGACATTAAATGTCTCTCTTGTTTTTATGCTATATTTTTATCTCTGAAATTTCCTCCCACCGCAAGTTTGTGAAATCGCTTGGTAGTTGGCCTGCATCGAAATAATAGAAGACTTGCGTTTATGCAGCGATAACTGGCAACGTGGGTCTCACAACGCTCTCCGGTGTGTCACCGCGTGTTAATCCAAGCGATGAGTTTTCGATATCTTATTTTTTATCCTTGTGTCAAAATAGTGTTACGGTTACTGATATCTCAATTGATATATGTCTATATATTCAGAATTACTATCCCTTTATTTTATATTAGTTTACCATTTTTTAACCTTTCAAGGTGTTAACTTGGTTTGGTTTTAACTGAGTGATAATTTGATGCGGAACTCAACACAAAAGCCATTTGTTAAACACAGTCTATGAAACACGACCAATTTACCTGCCGTACACGAAGGGCTTTTAAAGCCCGTTTAAAACCCAATATTTGCCCCGTTTGTATTGCACCGTGCAGACACAAAGAATTATCTACCCCTTTGTCTCTCGAGATATCGATTAAAAAAGTGGTAACTATTATCTTTTAAAAGATTTCCAAGAAATTTAACTAAACATGTCATGAAAAAAAAAATTGCGTCAGCCGAACGGCCTAGGTGGAGAAACATGCTTGCCTACTGAGTACTCTAAATAGCGTTTCATGGCGACTCAAAAGCAGACAGCTGTAGAACAAAATTGGCACGTGTTTCCTACTTTTATTTCCATAACTCTTCCTGTAATGAAGATGTAATTCCAGCTCGCTGTGTTAACTTATTATGTGCATATACGCTCTGTTGACTTGTTTGAATTTTTTAGAGTTCAACAAAGATTATTTAGCGACATGTTAACCTATTTTTTTGGTTGCAGTTTTTATTTTGTCATTACCCAAGTGTAGTCTGTTTGGATATTTAATAAACTTTCTCTCTACAAAGAAATAAGATATAAGCTTTAAACACACCTGTAGAAAATGATATTGTATCTCACTAAGCCTGTTTCTATTGTGTGCGCTGGCTGTGTGTGCGAGCCTTGAAAATTTACTCGAGAAGACGTTGACTACGACCACTGGTAAAGTGGAAAGAAATTACATTAAAATTGACTGTGACACACAAAAGTGGCCAAACTGAAGGGGAAGCCACCCACTGTCTTTCAATTTTGTTCAATGACAATGAAAAACTTTAAGGAAAATTGATTAAAAGCTTCATGGGGACAGATTTAATGGATGGGTGGAACAAGGAGTGCAATCTTAATAAACGTCTTTGTGGAGCTCTCGTGAGTTAAAATCACCGTTAAATCACAGGTATGAACAATTCCAAAATAAACAAATATTTAGCCACTCATGTTCCGTTTCTACCATGTGGTCCAGAGTTTAACGTATGGCCAGCCCGAGTATTATATCGTTCAAGGGATTATCTTTAATGTCTTAATGGCCTTAATCCTGAATGAAGACCTTCTATTAAAGGAACAGAATTCTATTAACGCTTCACCTCACTCTAAAACATTGTATTCAGTCTTTCAAGCCACAGTGGGTTATCTGTAAACACGGCATCTTTCAATGTGCAAAACTACATTTGATATCTATTCACAAAACGTCAAAACATGAACATCTCTGATGCAAATAAGCTTGGTCAAGGCGGCGTGCTTTTCCAAGTATCTCGCATCTCCTTGGCGCCTTGTTGATTTTTCACGATGTGGAAGCGATACTCTATTCCCTTTTGAATGACACTTAGTTTTCATTCATGGATACTCAAGTATTAGATAGTGCACCATACAAGATATTTTTTCCACCTTTTTGTTCTTTGTGAATAAATAAGTAAGGCGTAAGAAGAAAACACTCGTTCATAACAATCCTTCAAGCAATGAATTCACTCAATTCGTGGGAGTTCCCACCACCAGTCTTCTTCTCCGTTTACTCATCTTACAGGACATCGTGCTCTGTTAATTATTCATCAATGTTCTCCAATTTCTATTGTTCTATCGAACTTTTGCTCGTTAAGTTCATGTGGGTAACCCATTCTTTTTGGCAATCAATAATTTATACCCGTCAAGGTTCTTATAATAAACCACTTCTGAGAGAAGCCATTCAGGCACTCCATTCATTGTTCAGAACGTGGTTTCTTTTAATTTCAACCAGGCACATCCGCCATCCCAGGGGCATGGGACTGCTATAAAAACGACTCGCCTAGGGTGATTGCTTTCACTGTACACCGACAAGTCCGGGCGCTGAAGTCAATTCAAAGATCGACAGTTTGGAAATTGTTACACTTGAAAATATCGCCGGAATGACAAAACCCAGTGAACACATAAAACGGCCGATGAACGCCTACATGGTTTGGTCTCGAAAGGAGCGCAGGAGGATTGCAGAGGAATGTCCCCGAATGTTGAATTCGGAAATTAGTAAACGTCTTGGACTTGAGTGGAACGCTCTATCACCGGAGGCTAAAGATCCGTACATTTTGGAAGCCAAGCGACTAAGAGAGCAACATAAGAAAGACCACCCAGAATACAAGTATCAGCCTAAGAGGAAGCCAAAAACCACCCCCAAGGTAAAAGCGCAAAGCATCAATCCGTACGGTTATCATGACATGAATGGGTTGGGATACCCACCGCCTTCTACGCTGTGTAGCCCAATGCCGCCGCCAGGACATTTAATGCCACCGGGACCCATCTTTAGCAATTGCGCGGGAAATTGCACACTTACAGAGCCGCCTCCACCGTATCACTTCACACCGCACTATCCAGTAGTACAGACCATGGCTGAAATGAAAGGATCTTGTTCCGGGCATATACCTCTTGTTGGAAGGGAAATTTCTTGCGGGCCGCCTATTGCTTATTCGAGCCATCACCCTTCCGTGTCACATTCTATGCCAGTTGGACATGTGGTTCACCATCGAAGCGTTTTGCCGGAGTCATCTTCCATAGTTCATGCTCCTACCCCAATCGATAGCAGAACTGGGATTCCGCGATCTTCACTGGACTATGTAATGATGAGAAACGACGTTGGTTACTAATGAGAACTGACTTGTTTAATATATTTAAAGGTAATTTATAGTTAAGAGATTGAGTGAACTTCCAACTTATTAGGAGCCATATGTAAATACTGTATAGAATGAAGTCGCAAACTCATAGAGCGATAATAGGCTTTGTAAAACACTTCATCCGACGCTTGTTCGTAAAAACTTTAATTGCTTTTAATGCAATTGAAAGACAATTAGATGTGAGAAGAAGTAGAGCATTTTTAACGCTTTCTCTGCCCGAATGACCATATTAATCTTTGTAACAATTTTATGGAGTGAATTCCGCATCGAAGTCTCCGAATTTCCGTAATAAAATTATTTGAAACATAATTACTTAAGTTGCACTGTTTATGTATATTTATCCATAAAGAATCTTGACTAGTACATTAGGAATAATACACCGTTTACTAAATTCGTGGTTTGTCTTCGAAGCGACAGCGTGGTCGAATTCGTTTTCACTTGCGCCGTGAATTACAGGTAGCTCAGTCCATGTTCATCAATCCGAGTTTCTGAGGCCAGAACAAATTCTCCAATGTATTGACTAGAACGCAATCAAACAGAGCAATTTTGCATAGACTGAACAGCAAAGAAATTATCTGATTTTCACAATTAAGTGTAAAATGACTTTGTTATTGTCTAGCGACAAAACATCTCTACTTTGTTATCTTTAGAACGTGTTCAATTCGACATGGCAACCGGAGACAAAGGGCCTTTGATAACACAAAAGGGAACCTGTCACAAGTCTCCACTACACACTGCTTTGTTTCATTTCCTTGAATACGAATGTTTAAAATGAATTCAAAACGATAAGCAGCGAAGGATCTACAATTACTGTCATTATTTCACGCCGAGATAATTTCGTTTAAACAATGTTCTTGTCATGATTTTCGCCTTATGTTTCTATTTTTTGGTCTTTCAGCTCAGAAGGCACTAACCTCTTTCAAATATTAGGCTATCTTAGTAGGAGAAATTTCCATGACTGAGAACTTAAAATTGGTTTTTTTGAACAGAAGATATGTCGGTGCAGCGTATTAATCTGTGGAAGGAAATATCTGTTTCTTTTTTTGCTATTCAGAGTGGAACCATTTTATTTGCTGACTGTAGCGATTTATTCAGACAGATAAACATGTGAATTTGTCAGTTTGAAACGAATGTCGGCGGAGAAGAACTGATGTAAAGTGTTGCCTGTTTACTTAATGTGTGTTCCCCCCTTGACTACCGTGAAACCGTCCGTGAATGACTACAACCTGTATCAAGAGATAGACGGCTTTTCATGTAATGTCGAAAGGAAAAAATAGATAATCAATTCAAGCAATACAATTCAGTCAGTTGTCTGTCAGGTTTTGACTATGAGTTTCAATAGCGTTCCATTACTGCCGTTGGAAACGACCAGTTCATTATTGATTCTAGTCATGTTCTTATCACGAGAGCGCATTTGGGCAAATTGAGTTTCTGAGTTGTTGACATATAATGAATTGCGACATTCTACACAAGTTAGCTTGGCAGTTCCCCTCCATTCTTTAACAAAAATGACACTTTCCAAGTCATATCCGTCTGTAGTCTCCGAAAGTCTTTTAAACGTAAATGTCCCTTGATGAAAATGTTTAAGGTTCCTTTGTTAATAGGGGCAAGGTTCACATTCAATACACCCATTACCCATAGAATTCAACCTCAATGAACAATACTGACTGCAAAATTCACTACCTCTCTCCACTTTATTGAAAAAGCATATTAAAGTCGTGAAACTAACAACACTATTGTTTTCGGCTTAAAGCGTGAAATGTAGTCGGCAACTTTTTCATCTTATACAGCTCAGTGGCACATTTTATACGATGAACGAATTTCCATTATCGCTAGAACCTTCCGAGCGTGCTTGCAAGCTTAGATGTAGAAGTTTAAATTTCAAGATGGAAAAGGTTAAAAAAAATAAATAAAAATTAGGGCAATAAGGTTCATTTTGTTCGAGGGGCTCAGCAACAACGGGCGTTAATTTGTCAGAAGCTGAAACAAAAGAAAAAAGTTCACCTGGAATAGTTGCGAAATATTTCGAAATGCTTGTTTGGTTAAAGCGCGTGTTTAAAGCAACTTAATTCCTTAGTTATTCAATAACGGGCTTGGTGAAGCGAAAAAAATAAGATATAAACAAACCATTGTTCAAAAACTTAATAACAAATTTTGAAGCGCGTTGTTTAGTTACAATTGGAAGTTTGTTTTCCTTGATAAAGGTACAGTAGCAAAAAACGGCGTCTTAAATTAGGGTCGTGTGCTTCAATGAATCTATCGGATTTTTAGACCCATGTAGAATACTGTATAATAAGCAAGATGAAACGTTTTAAGTTTCATGTACATATATTAAAAAGGCCAAGTACGATAGCTGATGAGGCAAAGATTTCATCCGGGAAGTCTTGCGATACATATGGTTTCTAGGGAAAAAACATCGATTCATAATAAACACTGCCTATGGAGATATCGCTAGGCTTGCATGCCAGTGCGCTGTAGAACTGTTCGATCCATTCACCTAATTTGATTTTGCATTCAGGCGTATAAGCTATAATGGACAAAGGAAATTGACAGCGACTGCAGGTCACTTAGTCTTCGGTTGCTGGTGGTACATACAATCGAAATGGAAATAGAGATATTGAATGGAAATTTGCTTGAAACGGGGGCACCAATGAAGGTGAGGGTTGATGTCACATTGTATAATGATCTTAAGAACTAGGAGTTCTTCAGAAAGTCAGTTCAGAATGTACTGACTTGTGAAGTAGAGATTATTATGATCGTGGACTGAAGACGGCCGTCATTTTGGCACTACTGAAATGTCCTGCTTGGGTACAGGTAAACAAGGCCTTAAGACCGGTCGGCAAAAGTCAGGTAAATTCCATGGGAAATGCTTTGTTTGCTTCATCCAAAAACATAATTATACAAATGAAAGAAAGCTGTATAAACATATGGCTAGTCAGGGATCGAAATGGCTAACGTGTCCTGTCCGTTCGCCAAAGTAGTTTGAATTAAAACAAGATAGGCCCATTTAATTTTTCAAAATTCTTTGTTTCATGACATTTCTTTTAATGGTCTCCAGAGACAACTTCAAGGGTCCTTCGTGGTGGAATTAATTTCCTCAAGTTGTTCCTGTCACAACCAGCAGAAATTGTTAACACATCTGTCAAGTATAATTATTTGAGAGTAGAGACCTTTCCTTTTCCAAAACATTGCTATCACGCTTGGATAAGTGAATAGACAACCGCCACGGAATGTAGTTTGAGATAATTAAGCCAGACTAAGGTGTTCATTTTGCTATCCTTGGGCGGGTACCAAGTAAAAATATTGGGTTGAGGACTTGGAAAGGGTGTTTTAAAAGTTTAATGTTCTTCTTTTTGGAAGGAAACTGACATTCCTGTACGCGTAAGAAAGACGCGGTCAAGAGAACTTTCCCTCTGACATCTTCTTATGTGATGGGGTGAAGTTAATGTAACCTTCCGCTCCTAGTACAGACAATAATGAAGGTGTTGCGTGAAAAAGGCTTAAGTTTTAGATTCCTTGATCGTGTGACTATTCAAACATCTTCGGCAGAATTTTCGCGAAGTGCACTGTGCATTTTCATCAAATGTGTTCTGAAATCTGAGATCTTTGAAAAATAGTGTAGTTCGTGCGTGGCTGAATGGGGCTCGATGACCTCTGAAGTTCCCATGAGAAATTTCCTCATTGGACGATGCCACCATGTAGTTACCCCCAATTGGGATAGAAAACATCGGTTCAGATAATCGGTCGTCATCTTTTCTTGTCACCTTCGCCCACTGTGCAGTCTTCTCTAGGAACCGAAGAGTAATGGAGGTACAAATTACGCTCAAAATATTAAAAAATGTGGCTGTGTAGCGCTTGTAAGTATTTTAAGAGATGGTGAAGACAATAATCATCTAATGTGTCTGAAAGATAGGGTTAAATAACGAGTGACTCGTCTTGTAAGTGGAATAGATAATCTACGCTAAACTACATCCACTGCTGATGAGGCATAGCCCTCGAAACTCTTGAAAATTTAGTAATATAAGAGCCTTAGATAGTTTTTAATTTCTAGGCATAACTTGATTCTAGTTGTACTTTTCCCATCTGTTTCAGAAAAAATTAAGACGAGTAAGGACCGTGCCGTTAAGTGGCGTTTTGCAACTGAGCTCAACCGTTTGGTTTATAAGGATGCCTAGTCCTTAATCGAGACCGAAGCGTGTCACTAAATGATACCATAACATGTATTAACGCTCCACAAACACACCGGCAGCTCTTGTCAAAGCGCGACGACGTTTTTGTCCTATGAGCATACTGTATCTCTCTTTATGAATGTGATCTAGGAATGCATGGATAACTTGACCACAGGATAAGTCAGTTTCGAGTACATAAGAGTCCATGAAATCAGTACAGTTATCAAGCTGGGACTTGGTGGAAGCAGGACTAGTCTTTTAACCGAGTAACCAAGCAATGGTACATTTGGTGCCTCAGCCATACTTATTTCTACTACCCGTGAAAACTAGTTCGTTGCAGTTTTTTTCCTTAATACTTTAAATCCGGCTTTCTGTGATGGGTTGCTCCTGTAACTATTAGAGTTAATTGAATAAGTGTCCTACTAAAACAGGCCAGCCGCTTAACAGCTCGTGCGAATCCTGCAAGAGGCAAAACAAGAAAATGAAGGTTACCATATTCAAAAGTTGTTTTATTTGCTTGCGTTGCACTTTGCGTTTCATTTAGTGCATTCCCTGAGCAAATGGGAATGAAGTCTAGCTTTGCAATATTTCTTGAAAATGCAATGCACTGTAAGTTGTAGCTTTCACAAGCTTATAGCTTTTTCTCGGCTGGATTCGCTGTATCTACATAAGGCAGAAAAAAGATCTTTTTAATAACCATACCAGATGTTTCGTGGTTAAAAGCAAGTCGTCAACGACTTGTAGTCTTTTGATATCTGTCACTCTGCTCAATAGGTACTCTAGCATTCGTTAGAAATGGAAATAATAGAAATGTTGGGACCTGTTAAAACCAATTTTTGATATAACTATTTAAATTTTGTATCAGGCCCTGTCACCTCGGTATTTAAACACCCTGTGTAGGTTTTAACTGCAGTTTATCTGGAATGCTGTCAAAGTTTCTAAATTTTACTTTCCTTGGTCCGCAAAACGTTTTTCGATCGCGTTTTATTGATAGTATAAGCGGCAAGACAAGTTAAGGCCTCCAAGGACAAAAATACTTGTCAATGACTTTCTCACAACTGAAGTTCAAGTCTTGAAAAAGCGCGACGTCAGTTCTGAATTTTACTTTCGTTGGTCCGCAAAACGATTTTTTGATGCCATTTGAGCGAGAAGAGAAGCCCTCGAATAATAAAATGACGTGACTTTCTGGCAGTTGAATTTTAAGTCTTGACAAGCGCACTGTTGTACCTGCTATATGTTTATTTTCACTGTTTGTTATTGTAGAAAAGCAATTCTGCCAAGCTAAGCTCACTCAGTGTCACTGTGCCTTGCTATAATTTGTATTGAAGGTAAATTTTCTTCAGTTTTAAGCTCTGTTAGGAGGACTGATTTACACGTGGGATTTCATCACAAGCATAACAGGTGGCAGTCGACACCACTACCCTTGTCAACTTCATCGACGCCATTATAAGAGTACTTTGGCTTTCCTGAACTGTTAAAAGTGCGTGCAAAGAGAAAGTGTCATTTTACTTTTTGACTTTTCGTACCGTTCAAAACGAAGAGAAATCTCGCAAATTCCCATTTGTGTAGTCAATCAGCATGCACAGCTGTCGTTTTCCTGAAATGGGACACATACAGCTGCTTAAATGACATGGTGTACTAAGCACGTGCAAGAGGAGTTGCTTGAGGTCTCTTTAGTTCGTTATCCCTTACGATTTCCGCTGTGATGTCTAACTGTGCACGCCTTGTGCTCTGCAACAGTGGAAATCCTCACATGTTTGTTCTAGAAGAGCAACAAAGGGAGTGTCCGAACGGGTAAGAAATTATTGCTTGCCGCGTTAAAATGCTTAACGAATTAAACGCATACCGAGACAAAACACTAAGAAACAAGTCCTTGTACAATAAATTGGCGTTTTGTGCTGCCTCCAACTGAATATTAATAAACTTCCGTATTTTACACTAATGTTAAGAGAACTCTGGAACGTTCAATAGGCTCATGCCAATTTGTCAGAAAAAAAAAATGTTCCAACGATTGATGGCCGTTCGTGGTTCTTTCAAACGGCTGCCGGTAGCAAAATGTCGCATCAACTACTTAACATTTGAAATACTTGACGCTCGAGCGATGTCTTGCTGGTTGAATGTTGAAAACAAGACAAACTACTATACATCGGCACTCAAACACCATTGAGGCGCTTGTAATTCACTTTATGGCTGAATCGTAAATAAAAAGAGGCAAAAAATGTGTTAACAACCGCCTCTTTATTGAATGTTTTCTGTTCTAGCGGGTAATAAATTTAGACGTTAGTTAAACATATCACAATAGAAATGTCATCTTTATAGGTCTTTTGACTCTATTAGTGTTAACAAAACAAATGGCTGTCCTTGCACTTTTTTGTGCTTCTACAAAGCACGTGGAATAAACAAAGGACACGTTGTAAATCACTTTAAAGCCTCTATTCTTTCTCTTCCTTATCAGCTGATTCGATAAGGCGATTTTAATCCGATAATAGTTGCATTTTAACAAATTAAGAATTGTATAAACGCTTTGTTGTTTCGCCTCTTTTGCGCTATGTTGGATTTCTTTGGAAATGCGCTAAAAAGAAGACAAAGGTGTTACCTTTATAAAGGTGTTTATTAATGTATACTTGCCGAAGCGATCATGCATAGAATGTATTTAAAGGACTAGATAATACAAGCGAAAGAATAAATGATTACAAAATCTTTGCCCTCGTAAGATCCGTACAATTCGCCTTTACACACGGGTGAAGTTTTTAATCGTAGAGAGGATTGCGTGCGAGAAAGACTTGTTATCTGAAAGAAACTTATGGCAACCTGAAACATAATCAGATACAAGTTAGGCAACGTTTTCGCGTGGCATAGCATGTTTGATTTATGATGAGTTGCGCTTAAGGTTTGACAACTGACAGAAATACCCGAAGAATCAAGCGGCACCTTAATCTTAATTGTTACCCTAACAGTTTGTAAGGATTTGGAGTGATCAGCCAGAGAGCAGTGACGATCTTCCATGGCAGCCTAGTTAGTTGTGAATTTGACCGTTTAAATATGTATAGTGTTCGAGATGAGGTAACGAGAACTGAATTTCTATCGAGGAGTATTCATCGCGAACGCTTGAAATGAAGAGTTGTATCGATCGTTATTTTTATTTATTTTTAAGTTTTTAAAGGGACAGAAAGCCCTCTTAACAAATGATACCAATATTATTCTTGTAGATGCTAGTTTCTTTGAGCTTAGAAAACACTCATTTTGTTAAATGTTCAATGGCCGAAATAGCGCCGAGCAAAGTATTTTCTAAGAAATAAATTTAATTTGAATGATCAAACGGGAAAAGATTGTATCGTTCGAAAGTTAGAACTAAAATACATGTCTTTTTTATTTGGTTTTAAGTGTAAATTTTAACAGAGAATTTAGCATCAATTGCGAGAACGAGAGTTGGAAATTAGTGTCGCTGATTATACGTGCGGTATTTTCACCTCAAATTCATCGGGCTAGTTGAAGACAGACGATTCAACTTGCTTGGCTGAAACTAAGGAGGTTCGGTACATTAGGTTATGAATTCGGCATTGTTGAATTTCATTGAGTTCAATATCAATTGACAGTTTATTCTGTTTCTATAGTTTTGGCGTTCCATTTTCGATGCTACAGCTCTATATCTCTCTCAGACAGGATGCTATTCTTTTCCTTTTCAGGAAAAAACTTGTTATAACTTAAAAACCGGGCCAACCTTTCCGTTAAACTGAAGTGCGGCGTCAAGCTTCGTTATTCTGAATATCTGTTACCCTGCCGTTGCAACAGAAATTCAGGTTTCAACAGAATATGGTAATGACCTGTAATGAACTGGAGCCAATAAAATGAAGGGTATCTTGCCATTGTCATTCACAATCCAAGTTATAGATACAACACCTTTGTACGTATACGTTCATACATTTTGGAATAAAAATTCTTTACTCATTGTTTTTTTTTCTCTTTAATTCCTTTTGCAGTCTGTTTTTGGAGCCAAAATTATGACTCAATGTACTAAACTACTTATGTTGACGGTCCAGTAAGAGACTCCAAAAAGTGGGAACGTCCTTAGTTATTATCACATTTTTGGGGGGGGGGGAGTGACTTTTTGCAGGTCGCAGAGATTTGTAAAACACAGGCAATCAAAACCATAACTGTACTCCAATAAGCTATCTGGGCCGGGGGGTATACTTATGTAATTTTTTGCACAGGCTTACAACGTGACCGAATTATTTCGTGATCGGTAAAGATTTGCGAAAATTTGTAAAGTTCGTACAATTAATCTGAGTAAAAATGCCAGATTCAAATGGTTTTTTGAATTTGCTTTTTCTTATTTTTTATGTAAGGGTTAATTTTGGTTATTTCCAAACTTCTAAAACTTCATTTTTAATCAAACGTACAGTCAGTAATTTTGCTCCGTTGTATTTGCTTCTCCTTATAAGCGTAAATATTCACTCCTTCTTTAGTCAGTATTTCAAAAAAGGCAGCAGTTGTACGGTAGTTTTCAGTGACAACACGACTGAGTTCTTTGTGAGTCTTTTGCAATTAAGTTAAACTAGAAACACTCCTCAGGAACCTGGAATTTCAGGACTGGAACGTTAAAGTTCGTTATGAAAACTGTCAGTTTCGCTGGTCTTAATTAAACCGCACTCAGTTCTTACCACGCGCCTTATCAGCTTCCTAGTTCGTTGTTCTCAGTTGGACCATTTTAATTTCAGACGAATTTCACATAATTTCCCGACTGCAAACTAAAATTTTTTTCGACGGAATCTTTGTAAAACTTAGTTACTTCTTAACTAGCAATGCCAATTTAAATCTTTGTGTATGCATTCGGTCATTACGGTATTTCGCAATCCGTTTTTGCAATGTCTCCACGTGTAGCGAAACTCAGTTTAATTTCAATTTCTTCAGTTTCTTTTGTTGGTCGACCTTTAATCACCTGCAAACACATGTGAATACTATCTTTCTCTCCTCAAATCTAATTAACTTAATTGATCAGTATGAATATAATATAGAACCTGGTATTGCGTTAAGGTATTCACTGGCTAAATTGAACTTGTTTCATCTTAGTATCGTCCTTGTAACTTGAGATTCTTACAGTACGCTGCAACAGCCTGAATAAGAAATTTAATTACTGCTACTGCCACCGTTCCGGTCTCTTTTTGTACTTCTAAAATCTGTTCTCCTACATTTGGAATCGAAGGGTTGATTTTATGAAATCGAACAGTAATTATGAATGCATTCAGTTAGAGTCTCCAGAACTTGGAAACGTTCGAGCTATAGGGTGTATTAATCATAACCATTACAATTTCCTCAAATTTGATTTGATTAACTGCTCTATTTTTCTGTAATCATTGTGTAGGGTTGTAATCGGACAGGGTAATCGGACAGTTACATTAGCCAATGATATTAAATGCACTCAGCTAAATCCACCAATCACAGAAGTTATCGCAATAACCATTGCAACAACCACTTACCCTACCAAACTGGGCCGAGTTTTTCAAAGCTAGGTTAAGATAACCCAAGGTTAGTGCGAGATTTGGATTACGATTTGAAAGCTTAAAAAGAATTTCAGTTTTTTTTTTAGTCTATACGATGATGATGATTGGAAGTTCTAAAAATAACAGAGAAAATTATCCGAGAAAATGCTTTTGAACAAAAGAAAAAGAAGCACTAGTCGGCCTTCGAACAACTGGGCCCTGAAGATTTTCCAAAATGGACGAATTTGTAACATTACACAGGGTCTCCTCCGGTAATATTAATTTCCCGTTTGGTATTAAAAGCACCAAAAAGAACGCATTTATTTTCTCGGAAATTGTAACGGTTATGATTAATTGGTAACAGGACTTCGTGCCATCTAATTCGTTCTGTAATCATGCTCATGATTAAACAAATTGCACACAAATTGGACACCACTTAGTCCTATTACCATAATAGATCCTTATACGAAAAGAACAGCTTAAAATCAATAACGTTGCTAAATAGTGCGAGATAGACCGCGAAAGACGGCGCCGACAGCGAAAATGTCACTAATAAAATGAATTCGCCATCTTTCAAGCTTCATCGCGATTATTTCAAGTCCCCCAGTATGTCAAATGTAAGTTATTTTTCCTGGAATTGAATTTTTGGGGACCATGTTTAGAAATACAAAGAAATTTCGTCGTCATGTTCTTGACGACAAAGTTTCTTTGTCGAAAAGAGTGTTGGACGTTGTTTCGCTCCGGTTTTTAACGTTCTCCTTGCCGTCGTCGTCTTCGTGTTTGCTAAAGCTTTCTGGTGTAGCCCGGTCCTACGCCATTCTCACATGGTGATAACTGAGTAAAGTACAAAAGCGTCAATAGAAATTCCGGCACCTGATAATCGAGGAAGGAAGGTTTTGAAATGCCTCTTTACCATCTTCCGTTGAAGAGAATTGCAACTTTCCGGAGACAATCTTTATCTTCTGTTTTAGGTTCTTTTCAGAAACTTGTTTAAGACACTTTTTTGAAAGAAAAAACGTAGTTGTACTGAGAATTCTGAGTGAATTGCTGTGGGAACGGATTACAAAGGAACCAAAGTATGTTCATTCTGTTTTGTCACTTCCTGTGGAAATGCTTCTAGAGGAAAGTCCGAAAAATGTAAGGGGACTTCGTTTCCTCAAGAAGAGAATGGTCAGCTTTGAAGAAAGAAATTCATAAAATAAACAAAGATGGGCTCAATAAAAAATGCGTATGTTTCTAGATGAGCGTTGAACGTTTTTACAGAGCCGAGGAACTTCTGAACTGTTACTCAAGCAAGTGGCTCTATTGTTCAGTTTTATTTACTTAAACCGACGTGGTCTTTTTGCGAAAACAATGAAAGAACAATCAAAGACATGAAATCCTTTGTAGTTTCATTCATCTGGAACAACAATGACGGAGACAAAACCTTAGATTTCAGTACTTGTATAACCTTCCTTGAGGTTTAAGGTAAAACGTAACCTCGTTTAATTGATCTGGCAGCCCGTAATTACATTTGAGCATATTTTATGAAGATCTAATTTTTAAGAAAAGACGTGATATTAGCTTCTCTTTCACTGCTTCACTTCATTAAACTACTTTAAAACAACAAAGCTTTGATTTCAATCAAGCTTTTAGAAGGGGCGTTTTAACAAAATTTAGGCAAAGCAGGCTTCTTTCACAGCACATGGTCTCAGCGCCACAATGGCAGAAGGGTCATAAACAGGTCAGTACACGGGAACATGACTGTGATTCTTGTAAACGGTGCCTTTTATGTATTATTAGTTGAAAAAAAAAATAAACAATGTTTGAAAGAAATACTAGTCGCCTTTTCATGCTTATCATCCTTTGTTTCTCACCTGTTTCCTCTTCAAACCATAGTCAAACTAGCCTCCTCCTCAGGCGCTTCGTTTTTTCGCACAAAAGCGGGCGCGAAACGCGGGTGACACGCGAGTGTCTGGTGACGACGCGCAAGGGACTATCAAGACAGAGGCGTCTAGGTACGAGGCAGAGAACCAAAGTAAAAACCGCTGTATGTTGACACAGTTAACCACAATTTACCTTCTAAAAATTATTTTCTTTATTACTTCGCTGCTGCCTCATTTAATTCATCAAAAGACTCTGAAATTCAAGCGACAAAAACCTTTTTTTTTTCTTTTGGTAACCGTTCAGTAGGCGACAACAATCCCCTTTATTCCATGAGGAATTATGGACTAGTTCACAGAAATCTATCTTAAAAGGTTAGGATGAATTATGAAGTGTTTTAGAAGATCTAAGGGCTTGATGTAGTACACACTTCATTGACTGGTTGTATCCAGCCGCCTTTCTTCTAAACGCTAATCAACAAGAAACAAATGAATTTTTCAGCTGACCTTTGTGATATTTGAGTTTCAGTGTTTTTCGACGTGGGGGCCGGGCCGGACGTTTCGTTCCGTTGTTTACCGTTTCATGTCCTGTATTTTTTTTAGGCTGATTTAGCAACAGAACGGGAACGTCAGTTGACGACGGCGCGCGCAAATCAAACAACTGGCTTGACCAATGGCAGAGCGACAAATTGGGCACCGTAAGTCGAGTTTCCCGTCTTCCTGTCGCTTTCCCTTCGTCAAATGACGTTCGTGTTCTGTTGCTAAACCAGCCTACTTTAATGTCATACACACGGCTCTGTATATAGCGGTCACACTGTATATTACGGTCACCGGACAACTTCCCAAAGTTTTCAGTTGCCTTATTTTTTCCGCAGAGTTGACCTGTATATAGCGGTCACCCTGTATATAACTGTCACCTTGCCTATTTCCCAAGGGTGACCGTTGTACACAGGTTTGACTGTACAGTCGAATCCCGGTAACTCGAACCCTCTATAACTTTTGAACCTCCGGCTAACTCAAAACAATTTACATTTCTCTTTAGATCGTTTTCTTTATAATTTTACCCTCAATAACTCGAACTTTTTTCTATTTCTTCTTGAAGGTTCGAGTTATCGGGCGTCAACTGTGTATTTATTTATTTATTTATTTATTTATTTATTTATTTACTGTTACTAAGGGGTCTTGTCTCATGAAGTTGCCTAGCCGTTTCCCCAGTCTCAGAAACGCAGATGGGAGGGGAGACGGAGGGTCCTCATGATCCCAGACCGCCGTAGAAGCTGCCGCCTTCTACGCCCGGTACCTTTACCAACAAATCCATAGGTTACTTAAGAATCCATGGGTACGGTCGATTAATCGTATTCCGTAGTAAGGACAAGTCCCTCTATTAATATGTTGAACGCTACTAGCTTAAGTTTGTTGAACACTTCTGGCGCCTTGCCTAATCACAGAACGATATGGAGATAAACCCTTTTTTGTCGGAATTGTATAATCAAGCACACACAGACACACAATATACTTTATTTTCATACACATCATTTTGCCGAAGGTAATAATTATTTATAGATTGCTTTATTGACACTATGCCAATGTTGTGTCGAATTGCACTATGGGAAAGTTTTCGGGGACGAGTTTTGACCCAGCTTTTTGAGCAACTCATTGTTTAGCCAATAAAAGGAGTAATAGCGTCCCCAAACAGCTCGATAGTGCAATAGGCCCCCTTACAGTCACGAGACCTTCTTTACAAAAAAAAATCTATGGGGTGGCCTTAAACGATACCAGATATAGAAAGAGCATGAGAAAATTAGCAAACAGTGGATAGTGTTTTTCGCGCTCTCTAATTGTCTACTAAATTTCGGTTTATTGGCAGTTTTTACAAGTAAAACTGTCCGTTCGGTCATTTGCTCGCCCGCAAAATTGTTATCTTTGGCAGCAATGAATTAGTTGAATATAACCAGTTTTGTGCTCAATTATCTTACTATTTTGCTACACAGTATCACCTCAATGTCGGTCACTCACTTCCGTCGGTGCATAATTGTTATTTATAAGGATTTGTATGGAAAAAAATGCTGGATCGCGGGGCGTACGGACTCAAGCGACGAGTTCTGTTGAATGATATACATAGCTCTCCCCCCTACCGCCCTCCCCTTTATTCAAACAACCATAAAATCTCTGTCTTAAAAGCGTAAAAGCCAATCATTGGCTTGGCAGAAGGACTATATTTGTTATGTGGTATCTCGTAATTTTGTCATGAGAAGGGTCACGTCGCCACAGCGGCAAAGATGCTTATCGGAAACAAGACAGATTCAGAATGGCCAATTATTTTTTCAGTTGATCCAAAAACTGTAGTAACAGCTTATGAAAAGTTGGAGGGTGATCAACGTAACAAGAATGTGTCGTGTTTTTTATCATGTAAATCTTGCGTTGGGGAACGTAAAACAAACTATCAAGTGACGACGGTTTGAGCATTGTGTCGTCTTTCTCGCCAAACATAACCAGCAGCGGAACAGTAAGTTTTCGATAGTCACTGATTGAATAGTGTGATGTATCGGACGGTGCAATGGCTACTAATCCGCGGAGAACATGTGGATATGCCATTAGTAACGGCATAGCATACTCACCGCTTTTAGATGGAGACACTAAGACGGGCAGATGAAGCTTTAGGGCAGCTAATAAATTTGTCATGTACCCCAAGATTTCCTCGTGCGAGTATGGTATATGTACATTATTGGAATTGCCGTGGCCTGGTAGATCTAGAGCTAGAGCTCGATACCCCATTTCTCCTAAGATTTGAAATGTGCCAATATTAATCCATACAGCTGAAGTCATTCCATTTCCATGTAGGAACAAAACTGTAATGGTTTCTTTTGAACTGTTACTCGGTCTTGCCTCTCTATAGAACGTCATCCTTGCGTTCTCGAGAAAGCCTTCACTGTACGAAAGCGTACCAGGGTTTGCACGCAGGGCGTTCATCATTTCAACGTTCGGGCGAGTGTTTATAAGTGTAGTATGACCTGTTTCATGGTCTAAAGGCTTTTTGTTTGATCTCGTGTCTTGGTTCTGTTTATCAATAGTGCTCGCTTCTTTCCCTGAAGGTTCACTGGAATCCGTGTCCGTCTTGATCTCCGTTATTTCCCCTCTCTCGTCAACATCATCTTCCGTTTCCTTTTCATCATTTTCAGGATGAATAATATAATCGGCCGGCTCAGGCGTTTGTGTTTTGCTATAATCGCTGACCATATGTTCATAATACTTGTCCACCAATGAAATTACTTTACTTTTAATATCTACCACAGGGTTTTGCCCAGTGTTGACGTAATACCAAGCAAAGATTATAATTAAAGCGGCAAAGAATATTACCAGCACGAATTTTAGCTTCATCTTGCTTCCACGTCTGAAAAGGCACATATTTATTACTATGTTTTCCCTTCGGTTAAAAAATTAATTATTCTTGTTCATTCCAGACAAGTTAAATTCAGTTGTTAGGATACGACTCTTTTACGCATAGAATTTTTTTTGTTTAACATTACAAACAGAAAACAAACAGAAAAGACTGAGAGGGTATTCTTCTATACTTTGTATATCTTTGGAGAGGATTCTTGTTAAAACAAAATGTTTTCTTGATTTAGCTGAAAAAAGAAATGTTTCTCGTCCCAGCCCGCTTCATATTGACATTATTTTTAATTCACCCTACCTTTTGAGAAATATTGTATGACGCATCACCTTGTTTAAAACATGTATCAAAATACACCAAATTTGACTTCAATCAATTATATTTGGCTGACGTTTCATTTATTAATCATTTGACTTAAGAATTGCAACTTATTCTTAAGGGAGGGTAATAATTTGTATTGTTATATTCCTAGACTTTTACTCAACTAAGCAGGGACAGCCATTGGCTGATTCTTGGTCACATGGCCTTGACTAAAATCAAATGTATCCCGATCGTGATACATTTTAAAACAATGTAACCCGCTCGGGATACATTACAGCACGTGATCAACGCATGGTGGAAATAAGGCGGGAAAAACATTGCCAATTTTCTTTTTCGTGAATGAACACAACAACACAAACATGAAGCCTCATAAAGTGTAAAAAGCAACGATTTTCAAAGTTATCCCAGAAGAGAAACAGCAGCTTAAGTGGAGGAAAAAGATGCAGATAATATAAGGAAAGTTCTTTGTAAATCATTCATTCAGTGGTTTTGAGAATTAAATCTGTGTTCTTATAAGAACCGAGTCGACTGTTTTGATTCGCTCTGCTAAGGGACCGGTCATTATTTATGTGGGGGGGGGGGGGGGGGGGGGG